TTCTTCCGGCTGAGGCTGGAGAAAAAACTGTGATGAGTGTTTCTATTCTTTTAGCTTTGGTTGTATTTTTGCAAGTCTTAGTGACAAATCTTCTACCTCCATCGTCGACTAGCTTTCCGCTTTTTGCGAAATATTTGTTATTCGCAGTTTTACTAGATGTGTGCGTCGTGTTCAATACTATTCTGTCTCTTAATTGGCACTTTAAAACCCCAAGAACTCATCGAATGCCGAAATGGGTGCGATTACTTTTTGTCGATTTTTTACCGAAAATTTTGTTCATCAATAAGTTCGAATCGCCTGACACGGATTCGAGTAGTACCAAACAACAACAACAACAGGAACAACAAATTTCTCAAAACGTGTGTTCGAAAATATTTTGTGGAATCTGCAAAAAACCGACCGATACACCGATTGCTTCGCCAGAAACAAGTCGGAGAGCTGCTCTGAAACCGCAAGTATTCGATTTCACCGACTTGCACAGTCCTAACTGCGCGCTCAGGAAAAGATTGGCCAAGCGGAAACAGCTGACCAAATCAAAAAGCGAAGATCGAAAAGATGATGCTGGTGATGATGACGATTCTAGGAACGCTTATTCAGGTTACAATTTTATAAAACTATAATTGAAATAAATCAATCAGTAATAATAACTATTATATTAATCCATCTTCTACGAGTACTACTACAACTACAACTGCTGCTCTGGCTATTACTACTACTACTAATAATAATATTATTATTAATAATAATGATAATAATAACAATAACGAGAATAACAATAACACAAATGATGAACAGATCAAATGCCGGTGAAAGTAATAAAGTTGGAGCCTGAAATAAACAAGGCTGTGGAAGCGGTGAGGTTCATCAGTGCCCACCTCAAGAACGAAGACGACTACGAAGAAGTCGTTGACGACTGGCATTATGTGGCGCACGTCATCGATCGCCTTCTTCTTTACGTCTACCTCGTGGTAACGATCGCAGCGACACTGGCGATTTTACTGAACGCGCCAAATATTTATGAATCTATCAATCAGGATGATTTGAAAGCCGAATATAAAAAACGACATGTTCGGTTAATAACAGAAACAAATGATTACATATATCTATGCCCTTGGGGTTGAAAGACCCACAAAATATTTTCTATTCATTACAAACATCACACACGCATGCACAAACACTGACAGTGCATGTAAATATGCGTAGATTTACGCATAACACACTGTACACATTGTATGTGGTAGGCGGGGATCTCTTAGCGATCGAACATGTTCCCTGCAACAACCCTGCCACACCTCTTCCTCATTACAACATTCTGCTGCCTATTATTATATTATGATATTTGAATATTTATTCGTTAGCTAAATAATTTATGAAACTCTATAAACATGGACTGGACACTTCTAGTCTGACCCAAATTCGGCCACGTCCAAATTTGGGCCGGATGTCAGATTTAGGCAAAATTTTTATTTTAGCCATTTGTCTATGTTTTAATTTACGCTACAAAACTGCGTTTTAGTTCCCATATTAACGTGCTAATCATCCATTCGTTCGTTCGTTCATTTATTCATTCATTCATTCGTTCGTTCATTTATTCATTTATTCATTCATTCGTTCGTTCATTTATTCATCATTCATTCTTTCTTTCCTTTCTTTCATTATTTTTTCATCTCTAGGCTGATCTTCAGCAATAAAACTCCAAAGATAAATTTGATTGACTGACTGACTTTTGGCCCAAATTATATTTTCTTATTTAAGAATTTAGCGGGAAATTTTTTAATTGAAAATTCAATTGGGTTTCTTTAAAATTAAATTTTATTCAGCGGTTTTAAAATAATTTTTTTTTAATTTTAAAATAATCACCCACGGAAAAATGAAATAAATAAAATAATTTTAAGTAACAAATTGAAGAATTTATCAACATTAACGTATATTATAGTAGTATTAATAGTAATAATTGTTATAATAATAATTATAAAATTAATTATTTTATTTTAAAAATTGTTGTTCATCTTTCGCTATCTCTCTATGAAATTTCGAGCACAATCTCAGGGTTTATTTATTTAACTGGGTCAATCTAAAAAAATAAATAAATGAATGAATGACTGACTGAATGAATAAACGAATGAATGAATGCAGAAAAAAATAAATAAAGATTTATATTTATATTCAGAAAATCTAAAACCATTAAAATCTCAAAACACTAAAATAAAAAAATACTTGTCCCGCAATTATAATCCTAATGAAATTTATTATATCCATAATAACCATAACAATTACAAAAATTTTTATGACTTTTCATACTTACGCATCTGACGAAACTGACGCAAGGCATTCTCAGGCACGGGATAGCTTTTTCGGTGCACACTTTGTTCAGGGGACACTCAAATCTCTAAGGTCAGGTAATGGAAAAATATTTCAATTTTTTACTCGTCAGAATATGAAAAATCAAATGATTAAAAAGATACGTCCAATAAAAGGAATTATAATGGAAATATTTAAAATGGACGATCCCGCCGTGCTCGATGACGATATCACGTGCATCGGAGTAAGCATGATATTTAACTAGCATTACGCACTGCTCCTGTCGCAATAAATAAGATATGGTGAGCTAATGGCAATGTTTATTAATTTTACATCAAAGGTAATAATTGAAAATAAAATTTTGAATAAAAATAAATTTATGTTATTATAAGAGCCAATAGGCGATAATTCAAATTTATTAATTATTATAGATCAGTCGATAAAGTCTTTATTTAAACGTGATTTCAAACTGATGTATATAGCCAGTCGGAGCTTGTGACCTTAACTCTTTTGATGTTGAATTAGACTTGAAACAAGATGTTTATTTGTTTGGCGAACGTTGCAAAATGGACATAATAGAATTGTAGTTCTACTTTATTTAAACAAATTTGAATTCGTAAGCAATTGTTGAACCAAATATTTTTTTTATAAATCTGTAAAGTACCCCAGCCATCTTGCCCGTGATTTGGGACAAACGTGTGATTTATGCTGGGCTAATTAATTCACAATTAGCTTTTGAGTATGATTCATTGAGATTGCAATTTGCTGATGTGGTTGACAGAAGAATTTCTTTTGGTTTTTCGAGAAGTTTGAGAGACTGCTTGAGTGAGCCTGTTTCATTCAGCGAACTATCCAACTGGATGAAATTTGAAGTGTTTTTCGCCATAGACATTAGAATTCATCGGTGACGTTGTATTTCAGATAGTTGTGAATTTTCAGTTTAGCTTTTTTTTTAGTTTAGTGACACAATGTTGTTGCCACCACGCTTCATAAGTAGCGAAAGTAACTACGACACACAATCACAGATCGGCATATGGAGCCACTTTCTAGCGTTACTTATTATCAGATTATCTAATTTGGACAATATCCATATTGTTGCAAAATTGTAGCTACGGAAATCAAACTGTAGCTGTGTGGGGATGAAATATTGCAAAATATTTGAAGTTATTGTTGCGGCTTGATGTCTAGAACTGAAGTGGTTTCCAAAACGATTTCTTTTTTGGCCCCAGCATCTCTGCCTTCAAATAAGTATAATCTGCTTAGGTATGCAAAGCTGTTTCCAATTTTGATATTTGGAATAACATCAGGGTGTTCATAGGCTCAGTCTGCATAGTCTTTTATCAAATGAGCTGCATTCGTCTATCCTCATTTTCCATGCGCAGTTCAAATCGATCAATTTTTGGGCGCCTTCCGAACGTGGGCAGCAATTGCCAAGGAAACTGCAAATTTAAGTCAGGATTTAGCTCTCGGTCCAGAAATCTCTACAGCTGGTGTACTCTGTTTTTGATCGCGGTTTTAATAATAATAATAATAACAACAAAAACAATAATATTAACAATAATAACAAATAATAATCTTATTATTTATCTGAAAACCTCGCATTTAGAGACGCATTCACAAGTTTGGCAGCCATTCCAATCGTAGAGGAAGCCACTCCTGCATGGAAGGCACTCCAGCGGTGGACACCGTGGGGGTGGGGGTGGAATGACTGATTTTGAAATAATTAAATGGATATAATTAATAATTATGATATTATACTTTATTATATTTAACTAATTAGTTTAATTGAGTTGTCGGCACATGTCGAAACACATGATTAACTAATATGTAACCTCAATATACAAAAAAAATTATTATTATTATTCATAATATTCAATGAAGATGACGTAATTAATTATAATTATAATCAGTAATAATATTAATTATTATTACTGGCGTATGCCGTTGCTACCACCACAGCCAAAAATATAACCAGCTTCATTGCCATGTGCTAAAAAAGTGAAAAAATATTTATTTCATAATTTAACTATTGAGTTACGAGACGGTGTAATGGTTAAGTTCCGCTGTTGAGGTGACCGTGTTCGATTTCAGAGAGATCCGCGCCTATCACATGTTGTGTGTAGGAAGGGATGCCTTGGATGTGTTGTTGCTGATGTTTTTGAGAATTAATCAAGGAAGAATTGTGAATAAAAATAGCTACAGTACAATTATTAATTAATTAAATAATTAATTAAAAAATTTAATGAATAACATCGAAAATTTTTATTTTAATATTAACAAATAATAAAACGAATAATAAATCGTACATACCTGCAAGACTGAAATTCTGTCTCTCTTTTGATATCGAAATCTTTTTCTTTTATATACTATCCGCGCGCGCGCACACACACACACCTACATACACACACACAATTTTAAATTAATAATTTCTATGATTTAAGTTCTGAACTTTTGATCTCTTGACATAAAATAAAAAGCTTTCGAAAAAATTAAATTCCTTAATTCATTCATTCGTTCGTTCGTCATTCGTTCGTTTGTACATTCATTCATCCATTCATTTACTTATTCATTCATTCACTTATACTCAATTCAACTCACTTTTTCATTAATTAATTTCGTGTTGTTGTAAGTCGATAGAAGGAATTATAATTGATGAGAAGAATTCTAGTAGGTTCTTACTGAAGTAGAATTCGATCACTGTGACGTAAGTGTCGAACACTGGAAAAATTTGTAGAAAAATTTAACACAAAGACCCCGCCATTTTTTTATGTCAGTATTGACCAGAGGCGGATCTAGAGGGCCGGAGGCACTGGCCCTTACGTTGTGAGCGTTGTTTGCGTTGAAAGATGGTAAAAGTCGTTGTTTTAACGTAAAAAGTAGTGTTTTGAAGGAAAAATTGACATTATAGGCTCATCAGCTGGAAAGTTGGTCCCCCAGTAAAAAGGTTGGCTTTCCCATGAGCACAGAAAAATTTTAAAAACAAATTTGCAAAAATTCCCCTCCCCCGCCAATAATTTTTTTTAATTTCTCTCCTGGACGGTCGTCAACATTTTCGGTAAATTCCCTCCCCGGTCGTTCAAAATCTTGGCTCCCCTGTCAAGTCAGTCTAGATCGACCACCGGGGTTGACATATGGAAAAAAAATTATACATACTTGAATTTTGTACTTTTGATTTCAACAAATTTAAATTTTTTGATTTATTAATTAGTATTTAATTTATTCAAGCACCGTTCATGAATTCTCAAATTAATTTTTACAGATATAAATATGATCTTGATGAAGCATTAGCAACACTTTTATACATTTTTTATACTTTCAAATTTTAATACAAAACACTCGAAGATTTCAAAATAACTTCAATTTCTTTTCAGTAGTCGTTGACATTGTAGATTGAGTGTTTATTGTGAAATAAAGATGTCATATACAGATTTGCATTGCCTTTATTATTAGTATGAATTTAATTTTATTGTTTGTTAAAAATTCATCAACTGATTCTTCTTTCTTTCTCGTGCCTGATCCTCTCAGGACATTGGCGACCATCGATTTCTACAAAACCCGATCTTAAACCCGACATTTGGTAGTTGTTGAATGAAATGTTGTGATATTCAATAAGTGACACAAGGACTTCACGAATGTTATTCGTTGTTGACCGCGATTTCTTTTTCATGCAATCTTTCCAGTAGTTGTTAGATTTTCCATTCCTTCCTTCTGCATGATGTGACCAAAAAATTTGACCAAAAACTGCCTCCGTTGGATTATCTGTAGTAATTTTATCTTTTCATAACCGGACTGTTTTAATACATCCTCATTTGAAGTATGAGAGGTCCAACCAATTTTCTCCATAATTCTTCCCAATTTCCGATCTTAAACCCATCTCAGTCGCGTTAATTTTTTTTCCATTTCTTTAAAAATTGTCCAGAACCTAGAACCGTAAATTAGCAACAAAATGTAACACCTAACAGTTTTTATTTTGTTGATATTTTGATTTTACTGTTGGTGAGGATGTTTTTCATTTTAGAATATACATCTTTCGCCACAGCCTTCTTTTGTTTGATATCTATATCACATTAACAACCTGAGGTTATTAGACTTCCTTTGATAATTGAAGCTGTTAACTTGTTTCACTTGTTTACCATTAACGATTATGGAGCAGATCGGGGCGGTTTTTCTTTTATTGAGAACCATGCACTCTGTTTTGTTGACGTTAATTTGCAAGTTTTTCCTTTCATTTTCAAAAATCAGTTTGGAAACAAGTTTTCTATTGGATCTGCTATAAGAGCTCTATCATCAGCATATCTTACATTGTTTATATTCACGCCTCCAATGGATATTTTCGGTAGATTTTCTATTTTTCTCATGATGATTTCACTATAGAGATTGAACATGTCTGGCGAGAATACACAGCCTTTCCTAACACCTTTCCTTATTTTGGCAAAACTAGTTATCTAGTTACCAACTTTCATTGCTGCTCTTTGGTCTCAATTGAGGTTTTTGATAACTCTCGTGTCTTTTCCATCATTGTCCAAATTTTCCAATATTTCCATAAGCTCCACGTGTTTCATGCTATCAAAAGCTTTGGAGCAATCGACAAAACATATAAACAAGTTTCTCTGCATTTCAGTCGCTCGTTCACTGATCATTTGTAGCATAAATATAGCGTTTCTTGTGCCACGATCCTCGACAAAACCACATTGGACATTTGAAATTTCAGATCTGATTTTGCTTCCTGCTCTCATCATCGAAATTCTCAAGAAAAGTTTTGTAAGATGACTCATCAAGCTGATTGTTCGATGTAGTTCACATTCTGTTGCGTTAGGTTTTTTAGGCAATGCAATAAATATTGACTTGGATAGGTCTTCAGGAATTTCGCCGCTGTTATAAATCTCATTCAAAATTTCTGTTACTTTTTCAATGCCAAATTCACCAAGACATTTAATTTCTTCAACAACTATCTCATCTGCACCTGGCGCTATATTTGATTTCATTTTGGAAATGAACTTAAGAATCAACTGATTATCTAGTGAGAAATTATGACCTTTAAAATCTTGATTAAGTAATTTCAATTGAAAGTGTATGTGACGTTGAAACAAAAAATCGAAACGATAGTAGGAGTAAGTTAAACTTGAATGTTCAAGTTTAACTTACTGATCGACAAGAATGTTTCAAGTTTTTATTTAATAATGAATCTAATCTTTTCATATGAAAAAATGGAAATTATGAGCTAAAAAAATTAGAACAGTGAAAAATTATTATTGGAAAAAATATATACAGAACTTACGATATAAAACAATTTACATACAAAACATTACATGTAAAAACCTATTTACAGACAAAAATAATATTTACACACAAAAAACTATTTACACACAAAATTGTTACATACGTAAAAATTTATTTACACACAAAAAAGTTATTTACATACAAACAAAATTTATATACAAAAAAATACTTACATTAAAAAAATTATGCAAATAAAATTATTTACACGAATCAAGTTTGCTGTGTAAAGATAAAATTGTAAATTTGTTGGATGGCACTCATCAACTTGTCTGGAAAAAACAATTGGTCGGTGGGCACATTGAACCTCATCATTTTGAGGAACTGCTCGATGACTTGAGGGTTGTATGTAACTTGGCTTTCTGTCAGCTCATTGAATTGGCATAGGAAGTGTTGTTCCTGCAAATAATTAACTTCCCCCTGGTAGCCCTGATTGTGGTGTAGATGGTGAGGAAGGATGGAGATCGACAGAGTGTGCATGTTGTCCTCTCCACGCTCCACTGGTCGATGCACGTTTTGCAGAAGCCGTGCGAACATCCGGCCAGGTATGCAAAGTTATTTCTATTACTTCTAAACGGATGCTGCATATTTCGTCTTCATCTTCTTGTGGGCCACTGTTAGTGGTTTGGCTGGGTGAATTAAATAGGGAGCCAGTTTGTAAATATTTAATGGTTCGTTCGACTTTAAAACAATTCTCGATGATGCAGCTTCTTGCTGAACACAGTGACTATTTATATATTTTTTTTTTTGATTGAGGAGATTTAGAAAATTTTATATGCATTAAAATTTATTATTAAAAAAGCTAATCTAGTTTGTGTATGTGTATGAGTTTGTATGTGTGCGTGCATGTGTGTGTGTGTGCGTGCATATGCGTGTTTGTGTGTGTGTGCGGTGTGTGTGTGTGTGTGTGAGTGCGTGTGTGTGTATTAATATCATTATGATATAAAATTATAATAATCTAATATTAACTATTAACATTTATGGATTTATTTATCATTTATCAGTATTTCTTTAAAACGAGATATTCTCCTACAATTAAATTGACATTCCGTTGGACAAGAGCCTGCGTGGTGAAGCATGATTCCACGATTCAATCGGCATTTCGTGGAATTAGTGTTTGATTAGTGAAGTATTCGTACACAATCTCAACATGTGTTTAAACATGTGTGAAAAAAAATAGCAGAAACAATTTTAACACAAGGTGTGTATGATGTGAAAACTGTCTGAATGCCGTTGAATGAAAGTTTAGTTTGTGCAAAAATCTCAGTCGTTTTATTGACATAGGTTTCTCTAGCAATCTGATCGGTTGTTGTATTATAATTGACATCGGTTTCTCTACCTGCGGCAATTTCAGAGAGACTTCTCGTGTTCTTATCTTTATTTCTTCGATAGCTGAACCATTTACTTATTGAATGTCAATCCACATTTTTCAGCCAATGCACTTCGAGAAGTTTGGTTTGGGTATGGAAAGTGAATGATGCTTTGGTAAAATTCTTCCAATATTTCAGTATTTTTTTGAGAAAGTATTTGTCTTTTCCTTTTTGAATCTTTGATTGAAATTGGTGTTGAAGTCGATTGTTGAAAATTTTCATCAGAGTTACTCTGGGATAGTTTTTGCGTTTCATTAACTAATGAATTGAAAGGTTGTGTGCTATTTGCAGTGTTTTTGCATGAAATATTGGAGAGGGAATGACTGTTGCTGAGTGTCTGATCGTTATTGATATGAGAAGTTTGGTTGTGACACTGATTAAAATTGTTGCTAGTACACGCAAGATGTTGAGGATCAACAAGACACACGTTTGGTCTAGAAACTTGAATGTCTGATGCATCATCATTTTGATAATTACCGGGTGAACCCCAATACATGTCATGCATAGCGTTGTATCGTTGAGTTTTGTAGTTTTCTTGATAGGTCGTCTTCCCATCAAAGCCATTCCTCATTGGATAATATGAATTTATACGAGCTAGTTTATGAAAATATTTACTGATATAGAACAAGTTGGTTGATCGGTCAGAAAATTTATGACGCTTGAGAAATCACTTATTTTTCTAAAATAAAACAATCACTTCCCAATTTTTAAACACTTGTATTTTCAGTATCATCCAAATGATTTTCGATTATTTGAACAATATTGATTTTATTTAATTTTTCTTAATCCTTAGTAACAAAAATAGTTTCCTAAACAAGCTATAGTTTGATAGTATCAAAATCAAATAAAATGAAGCATGTAAAATTGTTGAGCAATTGGAAGGCAACCAATGAAATATTCTCTGCCAAGGTGGCACGTGAAAAATAAGAGAGACGATCATCCAATTAAGTTGACACGCACGAATAAGATCAAACACGCTTTGATCTTTTTGTAAAAGTTTTTTAAGTTGACATCAAAGTGGCGCTTGTTCAAATTTGATTACAATTTCAAAAGATCAAAGAAGTTAATAGGTCAAAACTTTTGACGAGAACTTTATGTCACAGCGGCCGAAAATCTATATAAGTGAGTTGATGAGTAAGAACATACATTCACCATTGATAACTCGATCTGGCAACATCAATCGTTTATTAAATTAATAATACCTGACAAAACACACTAAACAACAAATATATCCTTACAAAATGAGTCAACAACTACCCATTAAAAACAGTATCAGTAGTAACAACAACAATAGTATCAGCAACACCAACAACAACTTAAACACACCGTCAGTTATTTCATCAGCAAAGTCTAGTGAAAACAGTGCGGATATCAATAGGAACATTAACGCAGACGCGCAATTAGGCAATCAGCCAACGAACAATTTCAACCATAAAAATTTGTCAAATTTCATTGCAAACACTTATGACACTCAATATCAAGATAAATACTTACAACGACAACTTTTCAGTCGGCATTATTTTAACAACCAAAATTTTCATCACCAAACATATAACCAACAACATCCATTTAATCAATGTTTCAATCAGCAACAATTTAACCAGCACATCACTCAACAACAATTCAATCAACAATTATACAACGACCAATCTCTAAAACAAAATAATTTCAATGCACAAGAACAATGCAATCAAAAAATGTTCTACAAGCAAAATTTCAACCAACAACATTTTAATCAGCATCCCTACTACCAACAACATTTCAACCATCAACCTTTAAACCAACAACATTTCAACCAACAACCTTTAAACCAACCACATTTCGACCAACAACATTTCAATCAACAACATTTTAACTGGTGTAACAACGCTTCAAACAATTTCTCCGGTTCTTATGGTACACTCAAATCAATGTTAACCACAGATACAGCTCAGCCTTCCTCATATCGTTCATTTGAAACTTATTCGAACACTAATAATAACAATCACTTTGTTAGTCAAAATTTTCAAAACATTGATGGAAATGCTAATCAAAGTCTTCCTACCTCAAATTTCCAATCACCAGCAAATGATTCAACTTCAACCACTAAATCACATGGCCAGAATTTTGTAGCTTGTCAACAACAAACAACCTTGAATAATTCAACAAGAGTAGTTAAGAAAAGAATCATTCTGTCGAACGATAGAACAAGTATATTGGAGAATTACTATCAGAATAACTTCAACTTTCCCTATCCTGATCTGGAAACAAGAGAATCCCTGGCCAGCCAGTGTGGAATTTCCTGCTCTCAAGTTAACAAGTGGTTCAGTAACAGACGAAACAAGGACAAAAACACCAGGAGTCTGACCGACATTGCTAATGTAAGAGGAAGGAAAGGAACCTAAATTATTTCTGCTGATCTTTTTGTAAATTTTCCAAACATTTGTGAATATTTTCAACTTTTGTGAATAATTCCAACATTTGTGGTTATTTCCAGCATTCGTGAATATTTTCAACTGTTGTGATTATTTCATTTTAAATATTTACGAGAAGATATTATATCTTCATTTGTTTTTACTATTTTCTAATATTGTGAGATTTTTTTGTTTTTACAGACTTTAATTGAAATTGTGAGATATTATTTTATAAATATTTTACATTCTATTTACCTTAAATTTGTAATTAATTAATGTTGTTTCGTAAAAGAAAACTTGTTCTCATTTTCAATTTTGCTTTCAATATCGGTGCTCATTTTATATTAGAAAACTATTTGCAATCCATATGTTGTTGTTTTTTTCTCTAAATTCATTTTGTCACAATGTTAATTGGTCAGATCAACTTTAATGCACATAAATGTTTTTTTAATCAGGGTGTCGGATTCTGATGAAAAATATCCGACTCCAACCCCTCAAAAACTTCTAACTACGATTCAGGTAAAACTTCGACTCAGGGTTTTGACTCACATGAAATTTTGTATACTTTTGCATCATAAATTTGTCTTATTATCAGTGCTAAACAAAATTTACTTTATAAAAATTCAAAATTGGTCAATGTAACTAATATTTTTAGTAAAACGACTTTAAATTTGTGTTTTAAAACATTCTTTAAAAAATTGTTTGATTATATTTATACTATTAGATTTCATTTGCAGTATTAAATATATTGCTACACATAATTTTCTTGTCGTTCTTGAAAAAATTGAATAATTTACGCCATTGTTATGTTATAATCGTGAAGAATTTTAAGTTTCAAAAGTCGAACGTTTTCGTTCGTGATGGGGAAAATAAAATTGGCTTTTGACAAATAGGCTTGGATTGTTTTTAAAATTTAGGCTAATGGATCTTTAAGAGAATTCAAACTCAGTTGTTAATATTTTTAGTTGAAAAATTTTAGGCTAAAATAAAATATTTATTAGTGTTTCAAACCATTTTTTATAATTTTAAAATTACTGCAGAAACGTTTAATGCTTTCTTAATATCATTTCATTACGTATATTGTTTTATCCGAATTTACGCTCGAATAAAATTATAAGACAATTATTTCAACATTTTATTTGTAGTTGGAGGTTAAAAATTTTTTGTAAGCCAGAAATGAATAAATCTTTTCAAAATAAAATATGCAAAAGATACAAGCTCAATAAAAATAAACAAGGTCACATAAACTGTGCTGGATTAAGACCTCTTTGGGCCCATACCGAAATGCTTGAGGTAGGAAGACTTTGAAGACCCACTAAACTAACGCTCCGATTCAATGACTTACATTTTTTGGCGTACCCATACTCAAAACAACTGTTGTACAGCAACGGTTTTTTCTCTTAATTTGATTTTTTATTTGATGTGATTTTTTTCAGAGATTGTTTTTTGCTAATTTTGCCATTTCGTGGTGTTAAATGAATTCACTAACAATAATATAAAAGAAATATTATAAGACTTAAGCTATGTAGACATACATGGACATAAAATTCATCAAGTTTTATTTTTTAAAATACCTACAGATGAACAATAATTTCATAATTAAATGGTTTTGATATTGCAAAAATCGTAAAAAGTTAAAAATTGTTTTAGCTATATATATATAAATAGTCCACTCTAACAATTTTTCAGTTTGTAAGTGAGTATGCTTAATATATTTTAAAATTTTAGTTTGTAAATCACCCTTCCCTAGTTGCATAAATTCAGTGATCTTTTGTGATCGAAACCTCTTTCCAACTGAGCAGTGTACGTTTTAGCATTTGTGACATTTTAGTGTTTCTATCATTTATGCGTTGTGCTAGATCGACAAGCGTTTTACACGGATCATTCTGACAAAAGATCGGAAAGAAATATTTTGAACAAATGCCAGGCATTTTTCAATTGATTAAGTTAATAAATGATTATTTTATAAAATTTTATAAGACGTTTTTTTAGATAATTTATTTTTCTGCAAAAAGAAAATTATATATGAAACAAATGAATACCCATCAAAAAATGCTGCTACATAAACAAAACAAAATTAATGAGCAAAAAACAATATATTGAATTAATTCACATTGAAGCAAAAATCAAACAAAAATAAATAATCTATCACAAATTTAATAATAACTACAAATGCTAAACAAACAAAAATATGACATGATGGTGCAATGGATATAAAAATTTGAGAAAAAACTGTATCCACATTTACATGTAATCAGTTTGAATGCCACCGATCTAAAATGGTAAATAAAACATGAAAAATCAAAAAATCAAATACTGAAACAAAAACAATTTTAAAGTAAGCGAAAATTTTAAAAAAATATAATTAAAAATATACATTAACTATACAGTTTAAAATTAAGAGGTTAGTAAAATTGTCCGATCAGCTGTTGTAATTGACATAGGTTTCTCTAGCAATCTGATCGGTTGTTGTATTATAATTGACATCGGTTTCTCTACCTGCTGCTATTTCAGAGAGACTTCTCGTGTTCTTATCTTTATTTCTTCGATTGCTGAACCATTTACTTATCTGATTGAAAGTCAATCCACATTTTTCAGCCAATGCACTTCGAGAAGTTTGGTTTGGGTATGGAAAGCGAATGATGCTTTGGTAAAATTCTTCCAATATTTCAGTATTTTTTTGAGAAAGTATTTGTCTTTTCCTTTTTGAATCTTTGATTGAAATTAGTGTTGAAGTCGATTGTTGAAAATTTTCATCTGAGTTACTCTGGGATAGTTTTTGCGTTTCATTAACTAATGAATTGAAAGGTTGTGTGCTATTTGCAGTGTTTTTGCATGAAATATTGGAGAGGGAATGACTGTTGCTGAGTGTCTGATCGTTATTGATATGAGAAGTTTGGTTGTGACATTGATTAAAATTGTTGCTAGTACACGCAGGATGTTGAGGATCAACAAGACACACGTTTGGTCTAGAAACTTGAATGTCTGATGCATCATCATTTTGATAATTACCGGGTGAACCCCAATACATGTCATACATAGCGTTGTATCGTTGAGTTTTGTAGTTTTCTTGATAGGTCGTCTTCCCATCAAAGCCATACCTCACTGGATAATATGAATTTATACGAGCGAGTTTATTTTGCTGCATTGGACCGAAGTTGTGGATATTGTCGTTAACATAGTTGTTAGAAGCATATCTCGTCATTGTTTGATTATTAACTTTGAAATTCAATGAATCGGAAGGCATGTATTGAAGTGAAGTCAGAGTTGTATTGGCGTCTGTGCCATTCATTCCATTGTAAAAATTTGAAGTTGTGAAATGGTGTGGCTGGTAACAAGATTGGCCTCCACAACGTTCGAATTGTTGCGGGTAATGAATTGAGTTGGAATTTGGCAATGAATATTTGCAGTTGTGGTAGGATGTAACGTTGTTGTTGGGTCCGTACGATAAATTTTTAGATGAAAATTGTGAATCGTTGTACACGAACATATCGTCATTAGAGGCACGTTCAATGATTGATGAACGATTTAAATTCATATTTGGACAAAACTGTTTGTCATCGAAATGAAAACAATTTTCCATGCTTTTCAGAATTAGACTTGTAATTTATAATGACTTTTAAAAGTTTTCAAATAAAGTTTGAGCAAAAAATTAATGATCGGTCAGTAATTCAGGATGTGATGTTGCCTCTATCTTGTTTGGAGGATTATGAACATGTTTTTTTCATTCCACACTTATATAGATTTGTAAGCGTTAATTAGTCGATGGCTGACACTTCCAAAATATTTGAAAAAACGAGATTCATGAAATTCTGATGACAGATGTCAAAAAGAAGAACGATGGAGCTCACCTTTAATTATCCAATAAGGTTTCGTTACGTAATAATTATGTCAGACTAATTAAATTATAGTTAGGTTATTGTTCAATTAAAAAAAGGTGAAACGAAAACTAAATTAAATTATTTATTGAAATAAAACAAATTGATTGCTCGGCCAAAAAATTTGTGACAATTGAAATATCTTTTTTTTTAAAAAATAATACAATCGCTTCTAAATACTTAAACGCTTGTATTTTCAATATCAACCAAATGATTTCTGATTATTTAAACAAAATTGATTTCATTTAGTTTCTTTTAATTCTTCATAACAAAAATTGTTTCCTAAACAAGCTATAGTTTGATAGTATCAAATTCAATTAAAATGAAGCATGTAAAATTGTTGAGCAATTAGAAGGCAACCAATGAAATATTCTCTGAAAACTTGAGTTACCAATGGTGAATGAATTTTATCAAACTCATCAACTCACATATAAATTATCCACTTGAAAACAAAGAGAATCCAATTAAGTTGACACGCACGAATAAGAACGCTTTGATCATTTTGTAAAATTTTTTAAGTTGACATCAAAGTGGCACTTGTTCAAATTTGATTACAATTTCAAAATATCAAAGAAGTTAATAGGTCAAAACTTTTGACGAGAACTTTTTGTCACAGCAGCCGAAAATCTATATAAGTGAGTTGATGAGTAAGAACATTCATTCACCATTGGTAACTCGATCTGGCAACATCAATCGTTTATTAAATTAATAATACCTGACAAAACACACTAAACAACAAATATATCCTTACAAAATGAGTCAACAACTACCCATTAAAAACAGTATCAGTAGTAACAACAACAATAGTATCAGCAACACCAACAACAACTTAAACACACCGTCAGTTATTTCATCAGCAAAGTCTAGTGAAAACAGTGCGGATATCAATAGGAACATTAACGCAGACGCGCAATTAGGCAATCAGCCAACGAACAATTTCAACCATAAAAATTTGTCAAATTTCATTGCAAACACTTATGACACTCAATATCAAGATAAATACTTACAACGACAACTTTTCAGTCGGCATTATTTTAACAACCAAAATTTTCATCACCAAACATATAACCAACAACATCCATTTAATCAATGTTTCAATCAGCAACAATTTAACCAGCACATCACTCAACAACAATTCAATCAACAATTATACAACGACCAATCTCTAAAACAAAATAATTTCAATGCACAAGAACAATGCAATCAAAAAATGTTCTACAAGCAAAATTTCAACCAACAACATTTTAATCAGCATCCCTACTACCAACAACATTTCAACCATCAACCTTTAAACCAACAACATTTCAACCAACAACCTTTAAACCAACCACATTTCGACCAACAACATTTCAATCAACAACATTTTAACTGGTGTAACAACGCTTCAAACAATTTCTCCGGTTCTTATGGTACACTCAAATCAATGTTAACCACAGATACAGCTCAGCCTTCCTCATATCGTTCATTTGAAACTTATTCGAACACTAATAATAACAATCACTTTGTTAGTCAAAATTTTCAAAACATTGATGGAAATGCTAATCAAAGTCTTCCTACCTCAAATTTCCAATCACCAGCAAATGATTCAACTTCAACCACTAAATCACATGGCCAGAATTTTGTAGCTTGTCAACAACAAACAACCTTGAATAATTCAACAAGAGTAGTTAAGAAAAGAATCATTCTGTCGAACGATAGAACAAGTATATTGGAGAATTACTATCAGAATAACTTCAACTTTCCCTATCCTGATCTGGAAACAAGAGAATCCCTGGCCAGCCAGTGTGGAATTTCCTGCTCTCAAGTTAACAAGTGGTTCAGTAACAGACGAAACAAGGACAAAAACACCAGGAGTCTGACCGACATTGCTAATGTAAGAGGAAGGAAAGGAACCTAAATTATTTCTGCTGATCTTTTTGTAAATTTTCCAAACATTTGTGAATATTTTCAACTTTTGTGAATAATTCCAACATTTGTGGTTATTTCCAGCATTCGTGAATATTTTCAACTGTTGTGATTATTTCATTTTAAATATTTACGAGAAGATATTATATCTTCATTTGTTTTTACTATTTTCTAATATTGTGAGATTTTTTTGTTTTTACAGACTTTAATTGAAATTGTGAGATATTATTTTATAAATATTTTACATTCTATTTACCTTAAATTTGTAATTAATTAATGTTGTTTCGTAAAAGAAAACTTGTTCTCATTTTCAATTTACTTTCAATATCGGTGCTCATGTATTCTATAAAATTATTTGCATCTTCTATGTTGTTTTTTTCTCTAAATTCATTTTGACACAATATTCATTGGTCAGATCAATCTTGTTATCAACTTTTATTCACATAAGAGTTCTTTTAATCAGGGTTTCGGAGTCTAATGAAAAATATCCGGGTTTTGATTCACATGAAAATGTTTATACTTTTGCATCATAAATGTGTCTTATTATCAGTGCTAAACAAAATTTACTTTATAAACATTTAAAATTGGTCAATAGAATTAATATTTTTAGTGAAAGGACTTTAAATTTATGTTTTAAAACTTTCTGTAAAAAGTTATCAGCCATTTCTCGGCCCATTTAAATAAATTTGAAAATCTCATGCTGAAATTTCAATGTCTTTATTGTTGTCAAGAACTGCGCGTAATTTAGTGTTGTCCGCAAATTTTTAAAATGGATCCGTGGTATTGTGCCATCTCTGGTTTAAAGAATAATTCACGTCATTGTTATGTTATAATCGTGAAGAATTTTAAGTTACAAATGTCGAACGTTTTCGTTCGTGATGGGGAAAATAAAATTGGCTTTTGACAAATAGGTTTGGATTGTTTTTGAAATTTGGGCTAATGGATCCTTAAGCGAATTCAAACTCAGTTGTTAATATTTTGAGTTGAAAAATGTTAGGCTAAAATAAAATATCGTAAATTTAAAAATTGTTCTAGCTATTAATATCTATATTATATATAAATAGATCGACAAGCGTTTTACACAGATCATTCCGACAAAAGATCGGAAAGAAATATTTTGAACAAATGCCATACATTTTTCAATTGATGAAAATAATCAATGAATATTTTATTAAATTTTATAAAACGTTTTTTTAGATAATTTATATTTCTGCAAAAAGAAAATTAAATATGAAACAAATGAATACCCATCACAAAATGCTGCTACATAAACTAAACAACTATTGAATTATTTTTTAACTGTGTGAGATTTTTCATTTTTATCGACTTTCATTATGATAATTTGTTTTATTGATATTTTACATTCTATTGACATTAAATTTGTAATTAATCGTTGTTGTTTCGTATCAAATTACAAAATATAGTCTAGTTTACAAATTTACTTTTAATATCTGTGCTCAATTTATTCTGAAAAAGTATTCGTTATCTCAATGTTGTTACTTCAATGAAATCGTGGTTCAGTTGTTAAACGAACAAGGACTCTTTTTTAGCCATTCGTGTCAAATTGGATTTCACTTTGGTTGATTCTAACTTGAGATCAGCACAATGGGCATTGTGTTGCTTGTCCGATCAGCACAATGGGCATTGTGTTGCTTGTCCTAGTCAAGTGATTAAACATTCTACGTGCAAGGTGTGTTTGCATTGCTATTCATGTACAGACAACTTTTCTTGGAAGTCTTTTAAACAAACGGAACGGGCATTGGTTGAGAACTCTCTATAACAGAAATGCAATTTATACATTTTACTATTTTCGTTCGGTGCATAGCATATTTCATAACGTTTAATGGATGCTTTTCATTTGTTCGTGGTTCGTGTTCAATGTTTCTCTTTCAACGAATTCCTTTGTAGATGTTAAAAAGAAAGTTTATGGTCCATGGTTTCATCATGTTGTATTGTTGCTAACTGCTTAATAATTCTTGGCACCACATATTTTTACGTTTAGGTATTTGATTGGACTCATGTAGAACAAACGCTTCAATGTTTGTAATGCCCTCAATAAAGATTCACTGTTCGTTGTTGCATTTGTACTGATCCATTAGAGAGTGATTGAATGTCATCATGGTCAATATTTTCGAAAGCTCGTCTATTCATGTAGTTCACAACTATTTCATCAATGTTTTCTACAATTTAATCTATCTTCTTCAAATATTTATCCCCAATTTGGTCGACTTTTTGTTGAAAGAGAGCTTGCTTATTTAAATAATCATGCACAATTCGATAAATACTATTTTAGTGAGATATTCTCCCACAATCCAATCGACATTCGGTTGCATGAAACACTCTGAATTATAAATTTGCTATCCCAATGTTATTCAAAATAAAGTAGACAGACCAGATATAAATCTGTACCTAAAGGCAAACACGAAACTAAATGCCAACATTGAAAATTTTCAACATTTACTATTAAACGAACAAACTTTTTAGTCATCATTTAGAAAATTAATTAATTTTCAATCACCAAACTGCCGTAAACGGTGAGACAAACAAGTTGACTCAAATATGTTATTTTCAATAAAAAGTATTCCGAAATAATCAAATATTAATTGAATAGATAAAAAATTATGAAAGTAATTTTATCGAAGCCTGTCTGCCATATTTCTTCCCTCAAATTAAAATAAAATGCATTGGAATTCCATTCCCAAATAAAATGTATATAAGATTATCAAAATAAGATTTTATATTTTCAAGATGGCCCAGTATTTGAGTGTCATAATATTTAAAATCTTTGGTCTCTATGATGCAACGTTTTGCAATACACACCATACGTATTGGTTATTATTAATATAAATGCTACACTTATGCACATTTAAAATAAATTTTTTTTGGCTATGTCCTAATCTTATTAAGGTTCCATCCGATGAATCCTAAACATATTATTTGAATATTCATCGCAATTGTAAATTTGATCAACCAGATGAATCTTTCTTTTAAGAAAGAACATGAGAAACATCTATGGCAAAAATTTCTCATAACCATTCACTGACCATTCATTGACCAAGATACAATGAGAATGGACGACGAAGAATCACTTCTGCCGACAAAGTTTGAAATGTGCTCAACCAAAAATCACTCAAAACGGCTTTCAAAGAAATACTGAAAATATTTAATTAAAGTAGATCTTAAATATCGATGAACTTGCTGTGAGCTTTTAGTCAAAACATGAAGCAATTATATTACTTAAAATTTAAAAATAACAAGTCTGAATAAAAATTTGAATATATCATTTTTTTCTGAATATCGATATTAACCAAAAAATCTTTCATTATAAATGTTATATAACAATGCCGACAATCAACGTTCAATAAGTTATAAGATAACGCAAAAGATATACGAAAAAATAAAACAAAACTTTAGAATATTTCATAACAAATTGATAAAATCAACTACATTCAATAAACTTCTTGAAATTGAAATATTGCTAAATCGAATGACGAATCGTAAAAACAGAACAAAAACAAACACAAAACAACTGAATCGAATTGATTAAACTGAATTGAATTAATTAAACTTACTGCTAACAAAATAACTGAAGAAATACTCGTGAAATATTGCGAGTGAAGCCAATGCAGATCATTGTACACGTAAGTAACCCTCCTCCGAAAATACATGAATACGTGCCGTCAAGTTTTGGTTATGCTTGTCAATGAAATATAAAAATCAATTCTTTAAATATATATTCAGTAAAATTTCTCAAAATCGCCGTTAATTGCCAATGAATTGTGAAACATGCATTCCGGCGATTACGAACAAACTCAGAAATTAAATTAAGAAATTAAATTTGAAAAATAAATTAAAAACTTAAACCCAGAAATCAATGCAAACGTTAACACACATTCAGAAAGCTTTAATACAAATGGAATAAAATGTACAAATGATGCAGATAACAACCATCCGCAGACATGCACAAAAGATGAACTGAACTGGTAAGATGCATCATGCAAGTGTGCCTACAGTTACAGTAATGTCGAAGGGAAGATTATGATGACGAATAACATAATAATGTATAACGTGAATGAAATTTATCGTGAACACACAGATGATGACAAACATAAACGATTAACATGAAATGCATCATGAACGGCTGATTAAATGCTGATGAGCGCTGAATAAAGTCTGAAGGTATTATCAGATGGTGAATGTATTAAAATAAGAAAATTATGTTAAGAATGCCATAAGGTAATGAATGAAAATCAAGCAACCAGTCCAAGTCTTGAAACTTTTGCTGCCAGAAAGCTGTGCAGTATAAAGACAAACGGCTTTGGGTTAGATTCTAAGTCTAATTCCTGAACAAACAAAAATTTTTTCTTAAATATTTCAAGAAAACAAATTGAAACTTATAACTTATTCATCATAAAATTGTTTAAGCCATAAAATAAAAATTCTGAACAACATATTTCACCTATAATTCACTAATCAGTCAGTCAGTCAGTCAGTCAGTCAGTCAGTCAGTCAGTCAGTCAGTCAGTCAGTCAGTCAGTCAGTCAGTCAGTCAGTCAGTCAGTCAGTCAGTCAGTCAGTCAGTCAGTCAGTCAGTCAGTCAGTCAGTCAGTCAGTCAGTCAGTCAGTCAGTCAGTCAGTCAGTCAGTCAGTCAGTCAGTCAGTCAGTCAGTCAGTCAGTCAGTCAGTCAGTCAGTCAGTCAGTCAGTCAGTCAGTCAGTCAGTCAGTCAGTCAGTCAGTCAGTCAGTCAGTCAGTCAGTCAGTCAGTCAGTCAGTCAGTCAGTCAGCTAGATATGAAATAAAGAGACATGCACCTGTTCACCATCATCAACAAACTGCAGCCAGACCAGTCTGCTGCCGTCATCAGCGGACGATTTCAACTTTTCAAATGGTTTCTTCCAGATGAGGTCGTCTTCGTGGCGATGGCCTTCGTAGCCGTTCGAGATGTTGAGTTGGTTGAGGGTGAATCCATGCTCGTAATGCAGTGTCAACCGGCACGACTGGCCCTTGTACTTTACGTCTGCATGCGTCGGTGACGCATTTGTTCATTCGGGTGTCTCATTTATTACATCAATTTAAGTTATTTAAATTATAATCAACTTTTAGACGTAACGAGAAATTTTTGAAAAACAAAATGTTTACAGAGCAAAAAATATATAAAACATTTTATTGAGAATGTGTTTTTATGTAATTTACTTTGAATATTGAAAATTTAACAAAATAACTTAGTAGTCGCGAGGCAAGTTTGCTAAGACGGTAGAAGCGCCACAACTTGCGCTGCTGCTGGTCCGAAACTCAAAAACTATCAGACGCGCATGCGTATCACATATGTGCGCACACATGTGGTGCATCTTTTAAAAATATTTAAGGATAGAATGAAATATAAGCAGTTCTTCGTCTGGCAAAGAAAAAAGATCTTTACACATAATGATTCATCAATTTCCAATATTTTGTTTTCAATGTCGGTGTGTTATGCACGAGCGTACACACAATTTTCTGTCAAGCAATAACTTCCATTCCATATTGACGCTGTATTAACTAAAAATCTTCCTATTAAGAGAAAGTTCAAGATTTGTAACATGGCAAACAGGAGAAAGCAAAAAAAGCCATGTATAATACCAAACAAATGAAAAAGCAATTAAAGTACGAAATAAATCGATACTTGAGTCAAGTATATCGAGGCAAATCCAAATGAATTATAATCGGAAGCGAGGAAAATTTTGAAATGTTTGAACGAGAAGAAACGAACGTGTGGCAATCTCTTTGAGAAGGAGGACAGCATTGTTGACACCCTGCACAATAGCTCGCGTCCAGTTGGACAACTCCTTAGATGTTTCCACCTTGAATACGTGACCCTCCACTCCATGGTTGACCCCTGACCTCATCCCAAAGGTCAACAACTCAATACACGTTGTTGTTGAAGGGGGTGATGTTGATGTTGGTGTCGTTGGAGATTTGGTTTGTTGTCTGCTCGAATGCACCAATCTATTGTAAGATGGAACCAAATGAATCAACCTTGATACTTATAAACAGTGTCAATAACTATCAAAACAAATTAACATAACAACATCGATCAATTTTTTGTAACAATTTTAAATAAGAAGTGAAACGCATTTTTGTTTAAATTGTTTTAAGCATGATATGATAATTGATTGCAAAGCAAAAAATAGCAAACCATATCTACACGAACCTGCTGGTTAACAGCGAGTGAGAATAAGCTGGGAGATTCCATTCTTGCAAGCAGGTTGGAACAGCATTATAAAACATAATGTCCACCCCAGTAACTACGGCAAATAACCGTCTCCAGGTGCGACTGAGGCTGTCTGGAGAGAGCTGCAAAGTGTGAGTTGAGATGTGTCCTCTCATTACTACAATGGTTGGTACATCCCATGGTGAGTAACACAGTCAATAGCACTTTATATCATGACACAATATTACAAAAATTGTCTTTATAGTGTGTGAATTGATGAATGGCATTACCTTCAGAGGCTGACAAGAATCCATGAAGAAATTACAACAATATAATTTAAGAGGAAATAAATTTTTAAGAAACTCTATGCGACTAATCACGAAAATGTTATTCAGTAACAAAAACATGCAACAATCAAAGAAAAAAGACTAAAAAAAGCAAACATGTTTGCAACTTTGCTGCCCAAAAATGTAGAAAGCATCAAAATAATGAAAAATAAATGACTGGATGATCAAATTTGCTAGTTGGGTTTTGTGTGTTGGGTAACTATTAGTTAGCTTCTTTGAAGTCAAATAAGCAAATTACATTGGTGCGTATACCAACTTGTTTCATACATTCGAACATAGATATAAATAAAAATACATATATCATATGATATTTTTCAAATGTCATAAATAAATTATATATATATATATATGTTTGTGTGTATGTGTGTGTGAGTGTGTGCGTGCGTGCGTGTGTGTGTGTAATGTGTGTGTTTGAAATGTGTGTGTGTGTATGCGTGCGTGTGTGCGTGTTTGGGGGAGAGGGATCCATGTTTGTAGTATACGTGTGAATATTTCATCAGTAAGGCAGGCGGCAATAAAAAAAAGCACACACCCATCCATCCTTTCAATTAAGTTGACGACTTTAACCATTCGCCTACAATTTCGCGGGCATTTGTGCAGCACTGAAAATGCACCAGACACACATGCAACGTGATGACGCTCATCCACATGACTTACTGTCTACCATTTTCTAAATAAATGAGCTAATATTATATATACTTTTACAAACAATATATAATATATTTATATTATATCATATTTATGAACATAAAAAAGTTACAATCATTATATCAGTGTATCGCTGTTGTAATCTCAAATAATAAATTATTTCTTACACGCACATACACACACACACCACATACACACACACACAGTACTGTCTGAATACATTCCTTAAACATAATACCTTTAACGCTGTGCAATCTAACAACTCTCCAATGATTATTTACCTAAATTTCCATATTAATGGATGAAACATCTTGGTATGTGTCCAGAAACATCATTATAACTTCAGTTTAGGTAGTCATACACGATAAATTTATTAGAAATTCAATTAACCTCAGCCTGCCATCTTTACATTAGTCCTAATTTTTACCGTTTGAGAAGGTAATACAAAATTTTGATCACTTGTTTGTAAAAAAAAATTAACAAGAAAAACGTCGAGTCATAATGAAAAGTAAAAATAAAACCGGGGCGTGAAATAATGTTGGCAAATAGGTGAGAAAATATTGAATGTGATCTAACAGATTTCAAAATGTAAGTTGATATTCTCGTTCTAAACAAACCAATAGTAGTGATTCATTGCAAATTTGTAGTCAAGAAGGTAAAAAGCCTCCATAAAATTATTTTAAAGGTGTTTGTTTTTATTTTGCTGCAAAAACTATGTGATAAAAAAAAGATAACGTATCAAAAATAAAAAACAAAAGAATACAAATTTTTCTGGCGAAAGAGATGATCAGGAAAAAACATAAAAAAGGCTTCTCTTCCTGTTTGCCGACGCAACACTTGGAAATTTGTAGATGAGGTAGAATGTTTTGTAAACAGACACACTTACACGTCTGTCAAAACAATTTCCACGGTCTTTTCATCATGATATACAACACAATTGAAACCTAGAATAAATTTAACACGATTAAAATGATAATTACGACAATTTGCGACATAATTATAATTATAATATACGACGTCATAATTATAACATATAATTTCATATATAATTAAAAAATGAATGTTTATATGTACATTATCACCAGTCACCATCTGAAAAAACATCTTGTAAATACAAATATATCAGCCAAATCATTGTTTATTTTCTTCCACTCTCATATAAAAATTTTAATTGCAAGCCGATGCAAAGCAGAGATAGTAACCAGAAAAAAACAGCTCCGAAAATGCAACCTGATAAAGGAAACTCATATTTAACAAAAAGCTTTAAAATAATTTATACGAACAGAAAAAAAATACAGATTCATTAAATCAGACCTTATCTAATCCAACGGAAGTAATGAATACAGGCATACGTATGGATGGATGTACGCATGTTTGCTCATTTCTAAATATGTACTATAATACTTCTGGCTAATGCAAATGCGCCAATTCAATGAAATCTTTTTAACCTTACTCACTCTTTCGAGCACATATTGTCGCTTCAAATTCGACAAAAGAAATGTGAATCAATTGTCTGATTTTTCGCGATGTCAAAGATTCGTTTTCCAGAACACCAAAGTTTTATCGGCAAAAGAAGTGAGGAGATGAGCCGCTGATTAACTCAAACAAATCAATCAACAAACAGCAAAAATTGCATTGACGTAAAAAGATAGTGAGCCCATGTCAAAATGATTGTTCCTCAATGTTTGCTTCATAATCAAATTCACCAAACCCAGTTCTCATGTCAATCTTTTATTGACTTGTTTTCGACTCGGCCGGTCTGACTGACGGATTCCTAAATAATAAAATAATTTCAAACGTTATTGTGCAGATTTCAGTTTGAGGTATGTTTCAAGTTTCAATTAAAAAAAACTTTTTTCTATGAAGTTTTATTATCTTCAGATAAGAAAAAATATTTTTTGTTAATAAAGAAGTATTTAAAATAGTAATTTTTTAAGGATTGTTATCCTGGCGGGCCCTGGCTAGCATTTAAACATTTAAAAGCGTTTTCCATTTTTTCTTCATTATTTTATTTAATTATTTTACTATTTTAATTCCCATCCTACCATTTATTCCCAGTCACAACCTGATGTGATTATATAACATTCACGCTACGCTGTGATATAATATGTAATGTACGTCTACCCAGCAAAGGTTAATATGGATAAAAACGAAATTTGAAATGCAAGCTGAGATTTAAAATGTTACAAACATTTATTGATATCTACAAAGACGATCAAAGAATTTGTACCAATGATTTAAAAACCGGTTTCATATTTTTGTGTTACACAATGTTAACTATCTTGAGGTTTCGTTACTCAACCAAATGTTTGCGAGCTAGATGTACGTACAGCAATTTATTAAAATCATTATTCACTGAAATAATATTTAAAATATTATTTATATGATACGTTTTAATGTTGTTGTTTCGTTTAAATACATGCAGTCTTCTGAATGTACAAGTGCATACATACATGTGTGCTGTTTGTTCTTAAGATCATTTTTAAACCAACTGCAAATAATTAGCGAAACCAACTTTTTAATTAATCTCTTCTTAGATTATTAACTTTAAAACAAACATCAAGCAGAAAGATATTCACGATTTAAAATTAATTTAATGTTATATTTTGTCATTTTTATGAATCTTGTTTGACCGTTAGTTAATCTTTAAAATATTATTAAAATTCAATAAAAAGACTCGAATTCGTGAAATATTTACGGAATTGTTGTTGGCAAGTGAATTGTTGTTGTCAAGTGAATTGTTGTTTTTGTTTTGACAACAAATAGTTGTTGTCAAAATTATTTTTTGTCGCCTATGTAAAAGTACAAGTTGTTAATATGATGAAAATACAACTTGCATCAATGATGGTGATGTTGAGACCGATCAATAATGATGAACAAAAAGAAAAAAATAAAATAAATGAAACAAAAATTTGGGCTGTAATTATGATGAAAATGTCTGCCAAACCCCCGAAATAAAAAATTTATTAATATATTTGGATTTTGAAACCATTAAAAAGAAAATATAAATATAGAAAAATAATTTAAATAATGTATAGAAATTAAACTTTTTAATTTTTCAGCCATAAAGTATTATAACCCAACTCCAGCCACTACCACAAACAGAATTGAAAATAGAATAAAATAAAAATTAAACAAATTTTCCAATGTTCTTTTCCAACTTCAGAATCAACACAAACAAATGTATTTCATAAAGTACGAATCCACTAAAAACAGTGCTCTCTGAGTAACATTATCTAATGTTTAAATTGTTTACATTATGTGTATTATCTCTAAATGTAATTGTGTGTAGTTGAACAATCATTCAATTATTATTAAATTGTTGTGACTGCGAAGTGATTTTAGAATTACATGAAAGAGTTTTTTGAACATAAAAGTATGAATATCATCGAGCAGTCCATACAGTTGTTGGTTGCATTCTGCGACTAATAAAAACAGTACTACGGAATAATAAAGTTTTGTAAACGCAAATAAAATCAAGGGCAAAATAAAACAACGTTATCATCATCGTCGTCGTTGTTGGCGTCGTCATCATCAATGATAATGCAATCGCTATAATCACTGCCATCATCATCCTTACCACACTCACTTATCGACATATCGAATGTGAATGATGCAGCTCAACGAAGAGGACAACCCAGTTTTGTATAGAAGAAATAAAAAAAAATCATTTCATTCCATTAGGCGAAGAGCAATACACGCAATTCCGTCAAGATCATTGCTTCCATCTCGTCGTCGTCGTCGTCATCATTATCGGTATCATTACCACAATCCCATTTGAAAAATCAGCATCAGTTCACTCAATATATTTCAGAGGAGAAAAACAAAACAAAGGACACCCTTCTTGCAATGCATAACTGAGTTTTAGTTGAAATCTTAATAACATATAGCTGAGATATGTTTTCTGACCAAAAAATATAACATTCGTGAACCAAGCGCTAAGAGGCCGGCTATCATTTAGTTTCTACTTATTTTATCCATGTTCCCCTTAACCGAGGTTCAACTGATGCTGCTCAATCATCATAAACAATATTGGGTCGGTCAGAAATTCATTACAACAGCTATTCCAAGGTACATTCATGATACATACCCTTAAGGAGTACTGACTGCGGTTTGAGATTGGTCATTGACAAAACGAAATACTAACA